TCAAAAGGAGGGTTATCCTGAATCTTTCCTGATTTCATTTGAGAGAGCTTGTTGGAACTTTGAGGTTAAAGATGATGAGAGGATGATAATTTTAAGATCACAAATAAGCAGAGTTTTATCTGAGTTTTATTTACAGATGCCCCTGGAGCAAGCTAGAGATTTTGAGGATTATAGAAAGATGATGTATTCCCAATTTGAGATGAATTCAGAGCACTTCAGAAGGAAATGTAGATCAATTTCAAGGGCAGGTTTAAGACAGTATCTCAATAAATGGATGGAACAGGAACATGTCAACTCCTTAGACCAAAAGAAAAATATGTTTGGGTTAGAACAATTTTTATTCAATTTTTCCAGGGGAGTTGTGTTATCTGGTCAATGACAAGAATCCTAAAAATGTGCAACAGGCATCTGAATATGCTGATTCTATTAGTGAGATGAGAGATCCTCAATTCTCTGAGGTAAAAATTGGCAGAAAAGGATGGGAAAACAGCAGGAAAAATTCCAATCCCATGGACATTACTTCAGTCAGACTCAAGCTAAGGGAAGCCATTTTAAAGTGAAATCTTCTTCCCCAAAGCACAGTCCCCTGAAATCAAATAATCCTGAGGGAAAAGTCAATAAAACCCTTTATTTTGAACCCAGAGCTAATAAGAAATGTTTTTCCTGTGGGGAAGTGGGACTTTTTTTGGGCCCAGTGTGAAAATCAAAAGGATAAGAATTTCAGTCAGACTAAAAAAGTGTTTCTTCAGTCTTCAGCAGCTGAAGCTAGAACCACTGCTGTTGCTAAGGAAATGGACTTGGCAGAGAGCCCAGAAATTCCTGAAGCCAGAGTGATACAATGTTTCCTAATCAAGTACAATCAGGGTTTATTAGATAACTCAGGAAAGCCTATTTTTATCGACAACATAAAGTATTTAGGTTTAAAAGATACATAAAGTGGTGCCTCGCAAGATGAATTTAATTCATTCCACTGTTAATGTTGCCTTGCGAAAAATTCATCTTGTGAAACACGTTTTCCCATAGGAATGTATTGCAATCTAATTAATGTGTTCTTATGGGCAGAAAAAGTCAGAACAAAGTCAAATTTGGTTTACAAAGGGTTTATTAAGTGCTCTTTAAAGCCATACATATTGTGCACATGATTTTAAAAAATTCAATCAAAAAACCTTTAACTTTTTAAACATCATAGAAAAACATTTAAAAATCAGCAAACATGAGGCAGGAACAAAAAACGGAAAACATTTGTCTTGCGAAGCATGGCCATAAGAACATTTGTCTTGCGAGTCATCAACCCCATTGTGAAAACCATTTGTCTTGCGAGTTTTTTGTCCTGCAACACATTTGTCTTGCGAGGCACCACTGTATTCCGAGATTACTATTTGTCACTCTGACACCATTCCTAAAGAGAATATGTTGGAACAGAACATCACCCTCAGGGCATTAGCTCAGACTCTGAGTGGTTCTGCCAATGGCTAGAGTAGCAGTGAAATACCATGGGCGGTCTGGTATATGGAAGTAGTAGTGTCAGACCAAATACCAGCTCTTTGTCTGATTGGTTTCGATCTAGCCAAGCATGTTCAGAGTCTTTTAATAGTAACCTTCTCTCAGGGGAGGCAGATTAAAAGCTGGAACTCTTGTGCTGGAACTCTTGTGGAAAGACCTACTTTAGGGGAACATACTGAAATGAGACAGATAGCTGATTTGGTGCTAATGAAAAATTCTAGTAGTTCTTCCATTGTTAAGGAGCAGAAGGAAGATGTTACCTTAAATGATCACTTTCAATTCCACTGACCCCTGAACACCCAGAGAGGTATTGTGTGGGGAAAGATTTATTATATAGAGAGGTTTTAATGGTTCCTTATAATGGGGGAGGACCCCACAAACAGCTAATTGTCCTTATTAAATACAGAGGAAAAGATGATAGAAAAAACACACAGAGATGTATTTGGGGCACTCATGGACATCTCTTGCACCAAGCTGAGTGGCACAAAACTTTTATTGGACAGGGATGAGGAATCAAGAAACAATACCGTATTGTCAAAGTTGTGAGACCTGCCAAAAATGAGGTACAGGAAATGATAAGATGCGGGCTAAGCTATGCCCATTGCCAGTGATCTCGGCCCCTTCCCAACACGTGGCTCTGCAAAAGTCCTTAGAAATAGCAGGGCAAAACTTAAAGGGTGCTCAAGAAAATCAGGAAAGTCAGGGATGAGGAATCAAGAAACAATACCGTATTGTCAAAGTTGTGAGACCTGCCAAAAATGAGGTACAGGAAATGATAAGATGCGGGCTAAGCTATGCCCATTGCCAGTGATCTCGGCCCCTTTCCAACACATGGCTCTGCAAAAGTCCTTAGAAATAGCAGGGCAAAACTTAAAGGGTGCTCAAGAAAAGCAGGAAAGCGGGTACTGTGTAATAAAGGGGCCTGGGAAAGAACATTCTGTCCTGAGGAAGAGGTACTGATGCTGAGGTCCAGAAAGGGGAGTGAATTGCAGTTGGCATGGTCAGGACCTGTGGATTGGTTGTGGCAGCACTGGAGGGCTAAGGAGACTAGTATTGGGAAGACTCCACATGCAGCTGCAAAAGCACTGAAAATCCAGCAAGGCGAGCCTCTGCCTGAGAAACCAGAGATTAATGAGAGAGAATCAGATGATAAAAATGACAGTAAATCTGAAACAAGCCAAGTGTTTCAGATGGCACTTAAAAGAAACTTGCCTGTGAATTTTGAGGTGACCCATGATAGTGGTCTCCCATATATTGAGAGCGCCGTGACAAAAGTACCTATGGATGAGTTTATGAGTGAGGGTGAAGGCAAAAGGAAAAAGTTTTCAAAGAAGAACAGAGCCAACTTCTGCCAACTTCTGGAGGAGTTGAAGAAACTGCCAACTGCTTTTCCAGTTGAGAAAATGAAGCCACTAATTGAAAAGAAAACAGGCTTAACCTGAAAGAGGCGAGCTGAGGACATCCACTGGCCATCAGAGTGCCAGGTCTCCTTCCATCATCTGAAGAGGGCACGGACTTCAGGACCTGCCCTTCTTGCAACTGACTTCGACTGTGAGTTCATCATCAGCACGGATGTGTCGAAGGTTAGACTGGGAGCCGTGCTGTGCGAAGCAGATGACAGTGGGAGTCTACACACTGTGAACTTTATCAGCGGGAGACTCCAACCTGGTGAGAGACATTTGTCCGCCATTGAGAGGGTGTGCCTAGCTATCGTATGGATGCTGCAAATGCTGAAGCCCTAAATCTGGAGAAGGAAATTCATCCTTTACACAGACCATTCCGCTTTGGTGTGGCTATGAACTATGAAATCCATTAATAGCAAACTTGCAAGATGGACACAGATTCTGGAAGACTTTGACTTTGAGATCTGCAGCGTAAAAGGGACCCAGAGTGTGGTTGCTGATGCCTTGTCTCAAAGGCCAAATGAATAACAGGTGGAGAAGAATTTGTAATATTGCATTAACTATTCTGCTTGTGTAATGCTTTGGTGTGGCTATGAACTATGAAATCCATTAATAGCAAACTTGCAAGATGGACACAGATTCTGGAAGACTTTGACTTTGAGATCTGCAGCGTAAAAGGGACCCAGAGTGTGGTTGCTGATGCCTTGTCTCAAAGGCCAAATGAATAACAGGTGGAGAAGAATTTGTAATATTGCATTAACTATTCTGCTTGTGTAATAGTTATAATATTTATTTATTTATTTATTTATTTATTTATTTATTTATTTATTTATTTGTATGTTGATGAACTGAGAAGTATGGTAAAAATGATGAGTATCCTTATTAATGTAAAGGGAATATAATGTAATTTGTATTACGGTAAGTAATGCAAGAGATTAATATGTCTTTAT